GGGGTTTCTTTTACACCATCGATACGTAAGTTGCTTCGTCTGGAACGATTCTCTAAGTCAATAGATTTCTTTTTTAGCATCATAATTTCATTTTCATATTTTGTTTTAATGAGAGTAAATTCATCCCTAGATTTTTCTTCTTGAAAATTTAAGCTGACTTTTATTTCGTTAACTTCATTTTCGATTTTTCGGATATTTAACTTGTTATTGTTTATTTCTGCGTCCATTTTGTCTAATCTTGCTGTTATTATTTTGAAGTTCGAACTTATTATTGAAGTGAAGTTTTTTTCATGATCTTTGAGTAGTCTCTCCGTTTCTGCTAGTATACTTCTTTTTTGTTCTTCTAGTTTGCTTGTGATAATTTTTTCTATATTTTTAACATTTATTTCCATTTTTATTGTAAAATTGTTATAATCAAAATAAACACGTCTTTCTCGTTTGTGCCGCAAACGCCAAAAAAAAAAAAAAAAAAAAAAAAAAAAAAAAAAAAAAACTTATATTATAAAACTTATATATATATATATATATATATATATATATATATATATATATATATATATATATATATATATATATATATATATATATATATATATATATAGGGATGCCCACAGAATTTTTTGGTGTTTTTGATATGACACTTTCACGTATTTTGCTAACTCCAACCCCCTTATTATGGGGGTTCGAAATGTTTGCATATTAATAACTTTTGTAATTTACAATTTTTTTGAATGAAATTTAAAACCTAAATTTAAATTTAGTATAAAATAGTAAAGTTGAAAATTTTTATTACATAACTACCCTCAACATTGGGCAAGATTGTGATAGTGGTTGTGATTGTGTTAGTTTTGTTGTTAACGATGCTTTTTTAAGCATCGTTATCAACAAAAGCATAGGATAATATTTTTTAAGAATCGCTTATATTTTCTGGGTCAACAATATTTAACTTATCATTTTCAATTGCATAACCAAGACTGAAATTTTTTACTACCATCACTTTCTCTTCGTCATCAATTATTTAAAAAACTACCATCACTTTCTCTTCGTCATCAATTATTTAAAACACTTCCATCACTTTCTCTTCCTGAGTCATCAATTATTTAAAACACTACCATCACTTTCTCTCCCTGAGTCATCAATCATTTAAAACACTACCATCACTTTCTCTTCCTAAGTCATCAATTATTTGAAACATTACCATCACTTTCTCTTTATCACCAATTATTTAAAATACTACCACCACTTTCTCTTTGTCATCAATTATTGAAAACGCTTCCATCACATTCTCTTCTTGAGTCATGCCCACCATAGTAAATTCGTATCTAGTATTACAAACAGCTAGAAGGACTATGCTATGCGTTTTCTTATAGTTAAAATATTCTAATTCAGCATTATGAAGAGCTTCAATAACTTGTGCTTGCCGTCTATTGCACCTATAAAATGCGGGAAATTCCACATTTTTAAAAACTCTTTTGCAATTTTTGCTTTTCTGATGGAACGTGTAGAAAATTTCTCTTTTTCAATGACGACCATGCAGCAGCGTACGTTTCACTAATAACTCTACTAGTAGAAACGTTAATTCTTTAACTTGCAGCAATAGTACACTAAACGTTAATTAATATAATGTATAATAATTTCTGTAAATTTTTCTTACCCAAAATTTTTTCTTATTACTTTCTTTTTCTCGTTTTAATTGCAACATCTTTAAAACTACTATTTTTTTTTCAAAACAACAACAACTTTTTCTAATCAATATGTTTTCCATAAAGCGCGCAAACAGTTTCGCTGGTAGAAATAAAAATTTTGACTAAATATGATAATTTATCGCAAAATTATTTTTTCAATCCATCTCAAATCAAATATAATTTCTGGCTTAAGAATATGTTAAGCGGTTCATGCTATTTTTAAATTTTCAAAATTTTTTTGCATGGTCACACTTTGACCCAATGTGCAATGATGTGCAATGATGTGCAAAGATGATTATTCACTGACGTAGGAAATTAGCTGGAAGAAAATAAACTTTGTCATTATAATTTAAAACATTAGGTAATAATGTAGTTTTAGTTTTTATTGACAACAAAACTAGAAAAATACGAACTTTGTTGTGTTCTGACCAAAGTTATCATGAATATGATATTAAAAATGTTCCAACGCCTCTTATATTATTTTTTGTTAGTCTGATAATGTTTAAGCGATAATGATTAACCCTTTGTGGTCCAATGTCCCGCGTGACGGGACATCATAAAATTGTCGTTGCGGTCTATTGTCCCGTGCCACAGGACATCTACTATGTTGAAGTTTTTTCAGAAAAATTTGTCTATTTAAGCTAACTTGGACAATTTACTAGGTTCAATTGGTAATATTATAGTGTGTTTTCAAAATATTAAAGTGCTTTTCAGTAAAATTTTTTAATCGTCTATTTTTATTAAAATTTATTTACAAATGGCAAGGAAACGTTATACAACTGAAGAAATATTAAAGGCATTGGATGCAACAAGTACTGAAAGCGACAGTGAATACACTTTTGTGAATCTGAGACTAAATTCTCAGAAATATCAGAGTCAGAGGAAGATATTGAACTAAATTAAATTGATGATAATGGACTTGCTTTGAACATAGGATGGACAAAAGTAGTGCAAGATACTCCAGTATTTGAAGCATAGCCATTCACAGTAGCAAATGTAGACCCTCAGCATTCAAAAAACTAAACACGTGAACTAGATTTTTTCAAGTTATTTTTTACTAATCGTTATTTACTAATCGTTATTTATTTTTTAAACTAATCGTTATGCTAGTCAAAAATTGAAAATAACGACTTAGAATCTCATTCTATTTGGCACAAATGAAAAGACGTGACACAAAGAAATTCAAGCTTACTTTGGTACTATTTTGAATATGGCTCTGAATGAAAAATCAAGTATAAAAAATTATTTTTCTTGTGATTGGCTGACATACATGCCAATTTTTCAGCAGTTTTCTCTCGAACTCGGTTTCTTTAGATACATTGGATGCTGCACATATCCCCACCATCAAATCTATCTAATGAATAGAATAGACATACAAGGAAAGTTCATCGTGTTGTATCAGAGATGAAAAGTTCCTGTTCTAAAAATTTTGTCCCATCTCGTAACATTGTAATTGATGAAGTACTTTTGAATTCAAAGGTAGAGTTGCATTTTGCATGTACAACCCACAAAAACCCACAAAGTGGGGCATTTGTGTTTTTGTCTTAGCCGATAGTGAAACAGGTTATATTAGTTTCTTTGAACCGTAAGAATGGTAATTGCACTGAAAGTTTGGAAAGACCTGTGGTGCAGTTTACAAGTCGAATCGTGTTGCATTTGTGAGATGAGCTTTTAGAGGCTGCCCAAGGTAGTGGTCATCACTTATTCACTGACAGATTATATACTAGTTTTCCTCTTGCACAAGAGCTCCTCAAAATGAACATACAAATTATAGGGACAATAATAAAAAATAGGAAACAGTTACCTGAAGACATAAAAAAACTCAAATTAAAGAAGCACGAAGTTTCTACATATGTGCACTCTTCATTTTTAAAAAATTCAACAACTGAAGTTGCAAAATAAAGAACAAAACAAGGTATTGCAGATATTGATAAAACAACTGTTATTGTAAATTATTCGAAACATATGGAAGCTATTGACCGAGATGATCACTATTGTTCCACCTATTCATTTTTACGCAAGTCATGAAAATGGTGGAGAAAATATTTTTCTGGTTGTTGGAAGTTGCAGTTGTAAACAGTTATATATTGTTCAATAAATTTTGTGAAGGCAATGGTAAAAACAAACTTCGACACCAAACCTAGAGAAAAGACCTCATTGAGCAGTTAGTAAGAGCATGTCGTAACATTCAAGAACAAAGAGGAAGACAATCATCATTAGATGACAATAAACGCCTCAACCAAAAGTCACATTTTATTGCACAAGTTCCAAGTAATAATGCCAAAGACTGTTTAGTCTGCAGTGACAGAAAAACACAGGGTGGTGGAAGAAAAACTGTATATTATTGTAAAACCTGCACTAGAAAACCAGGACTACACCCTACTGATTGTTTTAAACTTTACCATACAAAGACTGACTTTCGTGTAAAAAGTCAATATTGTAATTTACTTGTGAATAAAAACAAGTGTTCACATATTTTTGTTTTTTCTTTTTTTTTAGTGCTTGCACTTAGGTCATAGTGTTTTTGGCAGAATAAAAATTATACAATTTAGTGCTACACTCAAAATAAATTTTTTATAAAAAATAAAGAGAAGCCATGGATCAAGCATATTTTTTCTGTTATATTTAAGGTCAATAAGTAAAAAAAAAGTTTGGACCTGATAGGATAAAAATTTTTTTTTTAAAGACCTCAATGGGTTAAGTTTGATAATGATACGATGATAAATTTCCAACAACAAAAGACGTTCGAATAAAAAACCTGTTTTTCTTTCAAAAAATATAATATTAAAGAAGTTATATATATATATATATATATATATATATATATATATATATATATATATATATATATATATATATATATATATAAATATAAGAAAATTAGTTTTGTGTATACAAAAGTATTTTTTGTAGAAAAAAAAAAATACTAAAATAAAAAAAAAATCATATTTGTTTTAATAATGCGTCAATATTATATTGTAACAATTTTTTTTGTATAAACATTTCAATCATTTTGCGTTAATCTTTTTAAATGAAATCATGTTAGATCAAATTATAGTAAAATCATATATCATCAAACATTTTACAACAATAATTTTATATCATACACACTAAAAATATAAGAGAATATCACATATCCTAACCTATATATATCTTATACCTTAGGTTAGGATATGTGATATACTCTTAATAAGGTATAATTTTGTATCCTCCGAGGTAGAAAATTATATGAAAAAAAATGATTTGTCAATTTTCTTTTTTAAAGGTATAATTTCCTACCTTAAAAGGTAGAAAACTTTACTTTACTAAGGGTATATCACATATCCTACCCAAAGGAAAAAAGTTCTACATTTTTTTTAGAGTGTAGTTTTCTACAACTTGAAATAATAAAAAATAGGAAAGAATTAAACGTCAGGTAATAAAAAAGTATATAATATACATGCATACATATTTTTTATTGATTATCTTTTTAAAAATAAAATTAAAAAAGTGCAACCTAAATAAATCGGAATTTATTTTTTTATTTCAAGATTAAATTTTTATATTGGTGCGACTTCAAAACATGCCAAACAATAATCACCTTACCGTCATTACCATCGTTATCTAAGTGTTCGCAAAGTTTTTCATCTATTGCCGTTTGATCTTTCGGAACAAAACCGTTAAATTCAAAAACAGAACCAAATTCGAATGCGTTTTTGTTTAATTCTTTTCCAATACTTACGATAACATATTTTACGCCATCTTGACGTGTTTGAGTCAAGACAACAAGCAAAAGTTTTCTCATTTCAATCGCGTATGGATGAAGTGTTTGCAGTAGTTTAGTTTTATAAATCCCACCAACGTCACGCACCTCATAAATAAGTATATGCCCGCTTCCGGTACCAACCCACAACATATTGTCGACTGAACACATGCACGTCACTCCGAGATCAACGCTAAGAGCTTCTGGTGAACACTTTAAAATATCGTTGTGACAGTTAAATTTATACAAGACTTCTATAGTTTCTGTACTATAGATATGAATTTCAGTACTACCTTGATAAGAAATAAAAAATAATTTTTCATCAAACGAGAAAACAATTTCTTTAACATTTCTATCAATTTTATAAATAAACTTTCTTTCTTCTTTATTTTTCTCCAAATTGCAAAGTATGAATGAACAACCGGCCGACCAAATAAATGTTTCGGACAATAAAACCGAGCTAGTTACCGAGAACATTTCTTTTAATTTAAAGTCATGAAGTTTATTTAACATATTTCCGTTTAAAAAACTTTTTAAAGTAACCTTAGAGCAACGGCCATCGTCAAACCCAAAACAAACCCAATCCATGTTCGCAGAGATTGAACAGATTAAACCTTCTATTTTGTATCTTTGAAAAACACTGTAGTTCTTAGCTTTATAAACTAAAATGACATCATTGAAAGTTCGTAACACAACACATACATGCTTATCACCGATAGGAGTAATGGATGATATATAAAAGTTCTCTAAACTAAACGGTGCAACCTCGATTTTAACTTTTTGGACCATTTTAAAACTTTCCATATTGATTACAATAATAGATGGTTCTGAAAAATATAATGAGTATAATTCATAATAGTTATATATACAGTGTAAAGTATAGTACATATAAGAAAGAAACAAAAGTTATAAAACCATATTAAGAAAAGAAAAGGTAATCGCTATATGGTATATGTTGTAAGGCATACGTTGTAAGTTATACGTTGTAAGGTATACATTGTAAGGTATATGTTGTAAGGTGTACGTTGTAAGATATACATTGTAAGGTACGCTTAAAAGAAAAGTAATAAAAGTTATAAAATCATATCAAGAAAAGAAAAAGTAAGGTTGATTAAAAGTTTGGTTTAGTTTAAATTAAAGAAAAACATTCACTATTAATATGATATTTTTAAGTTAAAAAAAATATATTTAAAAAAAATCTATTTTAGGAATGAGAATTTAAGAATGAGAAGTAGAAGCACAAACAGTAGAGTATGAAGCTGTTTATACTTCTATTTTATTGGTGGCTATTGAAAGCTAGAGAATCGTAAGGAAGTTAAAAATGTACCTTTGACTTGTAAGTTTTTGCCCACAAAAACCCACAGGTAAAGAAAATCAATTTTTACAAAATAATCACATTATAAAAAACTAGAAGAATAATAGTTTTATGTGCATAGAACTGATGTGACATCTCAATAAAGCTTCGGTTATTATATTTCATGTGCAAGGAACTGATGTGATGTCTCAATAAAGCTTCGGTTAATATATTTCATGTGTATAGAACTGATGTGAAATCTTAATAAAGCTTCGGTTATTATATTTCATGTGCATAGAAATGATATGACATCTCAATAAAGCTTCGTTTATTATATTTCATCTGCATAGAACTGATGTGACATCTCAATAAAGCATCGGTTATTATATTTTACAGGAGTTTGAAAACTGATGTTATTTTGAAAGCAATCTTGACTATTTAAGAGTAAGTTGAAGTTAATAGATAAATAAAGTTGTAAATTACACAAACTTTATAAGTTTCCAAATTTATGTAGAACTCATCAACTGCACTCAATCCAATTTAGCAACAACCATTAAGTTCGTTAGAGCGAATATACTCGCAGGCAGGTAATATTGCAACTTGCAGAAGTATACTTTTGTAGTAAGAAGTTAAGAAAAAAATGTTTTTTTTTAATCAAAAAATTTTTTTCAAAAGTAAAACTTCAGTACTACAACGTAACAAAGGTTACTTAGATTTTTTAATGTTTATTCATGTATTTTTTGTCACTGAATTTAAATATTAAATTCGTTATGATGTAACATTAATAGTTTTTTATTTATACAAAATTTCATTTTTTTTTTATATAAGCGCAAACATTCCTCAGGTCAGTATGTTGTATCGATATTGTTCTGATATAAGACTATAGCACTTTTTCAAATATTAAAAGATTTTTAGGAAGTATGATGATAATTGCATCATACTTCTTGAACGCATACTTTTATCTTTTCTAAATAGAAACCATATATAATTACCCATCATAGCTGAATCTCATTATCCTCATCAATTACTTTTCATTTTTGCAATGTCCTAATGAAATCTCTCATCATACTCCTCACTGACATCACCCATGTTTTTGGGTGATTTTAGGGGTTTTTCTAGGTGCGAATAAAACATATGGCCATATATGGACAGACGACAACCCACTTTCTTAAATTTTTTAAAAAGCTTTACAACCAGTTGTTTGTAATTAGGGTACTTGCAATTTTCTTGGAATCCACAAACTACATCACAAAATGCACACCAAGCTTCTTTTTCAACTTTTGTGATTGCTTTTTTAAATTTCTCTAACTTTCACATTCGGGATCCGACAAATATATCACAATTGATCTTTGCCTCAGATAGCTTTCAAAACTTGAGATGAATTTTTTGTAAAGCTTCACCTTTCAAATCTAAGGCTCTTACAAACTGTTTTACCAATCCTAGCTTGATATAAAGTGGGGGTGGTAATAAGTATTTGTTAGAATCTGCTAAAGGCTGCTTTAGAATATTGAATAATTCTGGCTGCAGGTCCATTTGTGGGTGCTAATAAACTTTCTTATAAGCCCTGCTGAACCATAAGCAAAGGAAACATGAATACTTTGTGTATCCCCCTAGTAAGCCAAACAAGAAAGGTACATCTTATAAAAAATTCTTTAAAACTAAGAGACTTAATTTAAAGAATGGATTCCTAATTCCATTGTAAATCAACACTTCTTTGATACTCTATATTGACCTTTCTATGAACTATTGGACATGACTATGCTTGAGTCCAAGAGAAGTAAACTAACCAGTCACATTTTTACATAGATATTACACAAGTTATAGAAAATTTCAAATTCTTAAAGTCATTTTTGGTACACACATATCCTGCAGTACTCGGCTAGTAGATTGTGTTCCATCAGCCTTAATGAAAAAAATTAAGTTTCTGACTTAGTAAGACCTAAATCTTTTATTAAATTGTCTAGCTCACTCTGAAGCCGAAAGTTAGGCTGAAAAGTCGTTATCGGTATAGAAGCTTCCTCCATGTCTTTACTAATATTACTTGCTGACACTTGATAAAAATTATTTATTGCATCTTTTATTGTAAGAGAATGAAAAAACTACAAATAGCAATTTCAACATAGACATAAACAATAGTAGCATTCAAAACTTCTTTAAAAAAAATGCAACTTATATACTTCATTTTTAATTGAATTAAATGTAAAACTTTTCAAAAATAAGATGTATTCTTGCATTTTGTAGTTTTTGTACTCGTAATCTGTCATCATATGGGACAGAGGGTGTTGAGGATGGTATGTCTGGATATTGAAGAGCTTGTGTCCTTTTAGATTTTCTGTATTTTGTAATATTAATCATGCTAAACTAACAGTTATTGTGATGGTTCTTGAACATTCTCCATACTCTGCAAACCGCAAAAGAGATTGGCTTTCTTCTACCTCGTAACCATCATGCTAGAGTAGTTCAGCAGTTTCAACATATCATATGAGAAGCCCATGTTTTGTTCTGATCTCCCAGGGGCAATTTAAAATATTTTGTGTATTTTGTGTTACCTTTCACTGTCTCATGACACCTACTTTTTACAAACAAATCAATCAAACAAAACTAATGGTATAGTAGCCATTACAAAAGGAACAGAAAATATTTTCATAAAAATCTTCACTTTAAACAAGACTGCTAGCAACCATTATTAGAGTTAGAAGTTACTGGAAGAGAAGTTGAAGTTTAGAAAAAAAGAAAAAGAAACAGACAACTTAAAAAATTGCAAATTATATGAATTTGGAAAACAAGATGAAAGGAGCCAATTGCAAATAACTGATGTTCCAGGTAAAAACTGGATGAAAATTTTTTTTGAAGCACTTAATAATAACAAGTAACATAACTTTAGTAGTAATTTTAGTAGATGGCACATGAAACAGTAGCTCATGAGAGCACCAATCATTATAGTATTTATAAAAAAGAAAAAGAGAAGCAGAATTACGATATAATAATGGTTGGAGGTTGAGCAGGTCCAATTATGTTTACAATGCATTTTTGCACCCTGTCAAAAAAAGAAAGAGCATTATTAAAATTCAGCTCCAGATATGGCAACAGTATTCCATAATTATAAATTTATAGAGATAAAAAATAGAATTTTAATGAAGAAAGTAGTGAGCATGGTAAAGAGATGCAACCTTAGCAGAAGCTAATTTTGCAATGGATTTGATATATGGTTTCCAAGAAAAGAAAGATCAAAAGTAAGAAATTATCCAAGAAGACAAAGAGTATATGACTCAGTGAGCACATTAACGCTCATAAAAATAGAAAGATATAGACTGTTGCAATTTCAAATAGCACAAAAATTTTTGAGTTTTATCTGAGTTAAAACCCCATGCTGTAGCACAAGTGAGATTCTTTTCACCACCTTTTAAACCAGGGTTTTATCTGAGTTAAACCAGGGTTTTATCTGAGTTAAACCAGGGTTTTATCTGAGTTAAACCAGGGTTTTATCTGAGTTAAACCAGGGTTTTATCTGAGTTAAACCAGGGTTTTTAGCCAGTAAAAACCCCATGCTGTAGCACAAGTGAGATTCTTTTCAAGCTCAAATCCCCCCTCACCTTAGTTGTGAGAATTTAAGGGAGATTGTTTATGTTAATTTAAAATGAGTATAATGTCAAGGTAAGAACCTTGAGGAACCCCTGAAGTTACAAGAAATAAGACTTTATACCACAATTGGTATATGTTAAATTAAGTTAAGATTCAATAATGTTAAAGATGTTACCTTATACATCATATAAAGAGAGCTTATGAAGTAGACCAGCATGCCAAACTTTATCAAAAGCTTTAGAAATGTAGAGGGTGATAACCTTAACCTCTCCACTAATGCACTATAAAACCTATTGGTTATTACCACTAACAAACCAGTATCAGAACAAGAAGATTGAAATCCATATTGTTGATTAGAAAGTTATTAGATTCAAGATTCAAGATTAGTGTTTGTTAATTAAAGATTCAAAAACCGTACTTATGATAGTAAGAAGACTAGTGGGACAGTTATTAGAAAAGTCAGATTGCTCTCCAGAATTTTTAAAAATAGGAATAACAGATGCCACTTTCCAGCATGCTAGAAAACAAGACTCTGATAAGCACTTGTTAAATAGTTTTGAAAGTATAGATGACAGCTCAGGAAAACACTTCTGCAAGAATATAACAGGTATGTTGTACGTACCACTTACTGTTGAAGAGTTTAAGTAGGAAATCACTTTTGATACAAAAGCTGGAGTGATACAAATACCAAGCAAGGGATCAACCTGTTTGTTGGCTACATCAGGTAGAACACATCTAGTGGAATCAAGAGATAATATTGATGAAACATTCTTAGAAACAATTCAGCTTTGTCTTTAGGTGAGGTGACAAAGTCTGAACCATACAAGAGAGTTGGAACAACAGATTTACCCACATTATAGATACTGTTAAAGATTCTCCAGAAGTTAAAAGTGCCTAATTTTTGAGATGAAATATGAGATTTAATGACCTGAGATTAGCATGTTTTGGCAT